AATGTGGGCTTAAAATTTCGAATTTAGATAAAAAAAGACTTAAATGGAAAGTAATATTAACGGGAAGTTTAACCAAATATGCACCTATCCAAGAAGAAATGTTTATGCAAGGCGAATATATGTTACAACCTCTCTAATGACAAATGAAGAGTGATTGTGAAAATAAAAAAGAACAATTTAATTTACAAAGGAAAAATGTACCTATATTTGTATTTTAAAATTTATATACAATATAACAATATTTATGTCCCATTTAGATATAACTGAACGACATTACTGAGGATATTTTCTTAATAAAATAGAATACTAGAACAAGGAAAGTCACCAATGTTGCAAATTTTATTGTCCATTAAACTAGGGTTCTATCAATTCTGGAAAATAGTTTCATCGCTTATTATGGATTGTAGAAAATAAAAATCTTTTCTATTATAAAAAGTATAACCGAATGTGAAGCAATTTTTCGTTAAATACATATGGTATTTTGAAGTTATCCTTTAATTTTTAATTGAACACTTTATTTATAAGTTTCTTATAAAATTGAGCGATTCTCCAAAATTAAACGAATGTAGATTTAAAGATAATTACGACGAAAATTACGAAGAAAACTGTTTTGCTAATGCAAAGGTTTTTAAATAGTACCAAATTATAAGAAAAATATTTTGTTTTTAAATTGATTATTAATTATTTTATAATTGAAATCATGACATAACAATTAAAAAATTATAAAATGTAACTGACAGGTTTCGAACAGTAGTGAATTGTAAAAACGAAATTTTTAGTTAATTGAATTTTTAGCTGACCATACAGCTGTTTCGAGTAATGGCTGTTTCTAGCGAATACCCCATCCTTGTAAATATTTCCTTCTCCTTCCTTCTCATTTTCCCTTCCTCCTCAATGCATTAGGCAAATCTGCTACACAGATGATTGTCTCATCTGCATGAGGTCCAACTTCCCCAGTTGAAACTACATTGAGCTTAACAATTACCTTAGGACTCACTCTGTTTACTACGTTACTACGGTAAGTGGAAGATTAAGATCAATGCCCTAAGAGGTTCCGTCTTCACGACAGCCCTTATGGGCCAGTGTGCTGATCGCGTTTGGAACATTAAAACCTCGGAATAAACTGTCGTATAAAAGGTGTGTTTTGGATACTGTCAAGATATCGGAAAATATAAGTCCGAGTGCAGTGCTGTTCGAAGACTTTTATGATTTTTATATGTGCGGGAGAAATTTTTTTGTACCTGTGGAGATTTTTTTTATTTTTGTAAATTTTCGTGAATTTAAAATTGTGAATGAAAGGTACTGAAGGAGATTAAATAAAAAGATTCAAGATTTTTAACAATTAAAAACAATACATATCCTTGTTTAAATAGTGGTAATAAATTAACATATCAATGAAATACGTGTGATGAAATTAATCGAGCATAGGTGTTCCAACACTCATTTATAATAATTCCAACAATCATCTGCAATACTAAAAAGTTGGACTATATGAATAACGGCAGCTTTATACATCGTTAAAATAATGAAATACCGAGACGGTGGACAGGTATTTAAAAAGTGACGGAGAAGATAACCGAGTCCACATTTGAAAAGATCTTATAAGCAGTACAATTCCTACATATTTTATTATTATATTAAAAAAAATTTGATTTTAAATTTAAAATTTATAAGAAAAATTTTGTTTTGAGGACATTTGAGGAAATCTTGAACACAATAATACGAATCAATTAAAAATTTATGCATATATATATATATATAATTTAGTTAAACATAAATTAAGAAAAGAAATTTAAATAATTAAAAACATATTTTTTTGTTATGATATAAAACAATTTATTTTATAAATAAGTGGTAATTAAAGTGAATTTAAAAGCAAATGTTGTTTTAATCAATATCGGTAAATGAAATAAGTGCATATTATTTTTATACAATGTAAAAGTTTAAGGAAAATAATTACATAGAAATTACAAAAATTATTGAAAAACCTTAAAAGAAATTAATTTATATACCATATATATGGTATATAAATGATATATAATGGTTAAAAATACATATAAAAGCACCACAACATCAAAGAAAATTTCTATAAACTCAAATAATTTAGAGTTCATTTGTTTCAAATACATTTTTTTTCTTAAAAGTTTCAACCAAAAACAAAGAACATACATATATATCTCGAAAAGACAGATTCTTTCCATATGGGCGAAAGAGATTGCAGACCAAATAGTGAAAGGCGTACGTGAATAAGGCGCGAATTAGCTGTTTATAGCAAAGCAGCTTAACTTTGCAGTTGAGCTGGTTGTATAATTATTTATATTTTTAACGTCTAATCAATGAAATAAATGGAATTGTCTAAGCGGCTTGTTATGATTGCAGTCACGTCATGGCAATTGTTGTTGCTTTTAATGCAAAATGAAGTGAGATGCTAGTGTCAAATTTTCATTTTGTATTGAAAGCAACAACAGAGTGTTGGAAGGCTTTCCTTCGACACCGTATGGTTCGAAGGTCTGATGCACAAACTATGCCACTTCGGCTTCCTTACAACACTCTGTAGTGTTATCCACCAGTTCCTTTCTAATAGATCCTTCGACAGATAAGTTCGAGGCTACTTCGTAAAACCGAATACGAACAGCACTACTATAGAATACTATTTGTTTCATAAAAAAATGTTTGAAAACCTTTCTGTTTTTAAAGAATCCTTATTATTCCATTAGCAATATATATTATGGACACATAATTAAGAAAATATTGGAAAAAGTGTACATAACCTTCTTAAAATTTATTATATAAAGAAATATTAGGGGTATTCAGGATGTCTGTTCATCCTTGCAAACTCAAATAATCGAGAACACACGTTGTGCATATTAGTCTTGAAAATATTTAGAACAGATGATTTTTGTTTACATATTTATTTGCTTGTAAAATATAACCCAGATTCGATAATTTGGCATATAATAATTTCCACTAATGCCAAAAACAAGTGAAAAGCAGAATGCATTGACATTGTCCGACATTGTTGGACGTAAAGTAAATAAAAAATCAAACAATTGCACAAAATCATAAAATTACAAAATAACAAAATCAAAACAAACTTAACAGTTTCGCTGAAGTATAGAGTCTTGAAAATCAAATATGCAAGAGGTAATTGGTGTTAAAAATATGGTCTTGAATATTGTCTTGCAAATCAAGTGCAGAATTATAAGAAAAGAAATTGTTTTTGTAAAATCAAATAAATTTGTACATGCAACGATGCACAGACATCTTGAATACACCTATTGTACATTTTTTTTTTATAGTTTTATAGTCTGTAAATAAACAGTTTTAAGATGCCTTATTTTAATTTCTGTTTGAAGTCTAGCACTAAATCCATTTTAATTTACATAATCCTAACCTCATATAAGAAAAAATTTTACAACATTTTGTTCTAAAAGCCTAATGTGGAAGTTGTTTGTCCGAATATTATTATGTACAATATACACTATTAAACATGTCATTTCAATATCAAAGAACATATTTATTGCCACCACTGTAAATGACAGTTGTCAAATGACAACTAAAAAACAAATAAAGTAAATGGGAGAAATTACTTAAATTTAAAAGTAAAGTAAATTATTTAACAAGGCACTCCAATATACAGAGGAAGAGCGTCAGATACGTAAACAAATATTAGCACATTACTCAAAGGTGATACCAACAAAATATTTAAATTGTGAAATTATTGAGAAAGTAGGATTATAATATGTAAAAAAGGCACAAAGTTCTAATAGTTGACGTATTGATTGTATAGTGATTTGAAAGATTAATAACCTCCATTACGAATATTGAAACTCCAGCAAGAAAATTCCAGCAATATTAGTCTATAAATTTCATTGTTAACTATAATCGTCAGTTGATTAAGTTTAATTAAGATATTAACAAATAAAAGTGTTAACTGAAATAGGCCAACGATTCTATTGTATTATCTGTTGTTGTTGCTACTGCTGTAACCAAATGCCCATTTCACAGCAAACACACAAAAGGTTGACAAGACTTGGTATATGGAATGAGATGAGGAAGAAAGTATAAAAACACGATGTAGGTACCGGTATGAAAGTTGTATTTAACATGGGTCCAGGTGAAATACCTACACTTGTCTATAGCAGTTTTGTAACTTCAAAATATCTTGATATTATTAATAAATTTAAATTTTGTTATTACTAGAGAGCACCTAGTCTAAGTTTAATAAGAATTAAGCTGTTTTTATATTTTTCACATATATGTAAGTTTTGTGTAATATAGTAAAGTTAGTACCTTTTAGGTAGTAAAACGATATCGGAAAACATATTCCCTATGAGTTGAATAATATAAAACTTTATTTGAATAATCCGATATTATCCAACATAACATATCTGCTTCAACATAAAAGAGTTTGTCTGTTTTCGAGGGATAAAAATGAGAACATTTGAAAAAATATTCAAAGTCATTTCTTTATCAATTCAAATACTGAAAAACGGAAGAACTGACAATATGATATATATTAATATTAATATATTTTCTATATTTCACCCTTAAGTTCCTCTGCAATGAATCACATACCATATTTACTTAACATGAACCTCTGCCAAACAAATTGGTGTTATGCGGGTACCACACTTTCTACATATTATATTATTGAAGTTTTTACTTCATTATAAACTCAATTAATGATCAGCGATAAGAATAATTTCTAAACAAAATGAATAGTTCTGTGTCAATCGCAGAACTATAAGTATAATAGTGTAAAAGTATAATATATGCATATGTTTACGGTTATATGAACTCAAATTGAAAATATATAATTTCAATCATTATCACAAAGTATATACCGAATTAGTCTTGTTAAATAATAAAAATAATGTAGCTCATTATTTATTATTTAAATGAATAATAAATGAATACTGAGCACAAATAGTGCTCTAAACAATATAAGAAATAGGTGTGAAAACAGTCTAATGTGTATACTATAAAGATTCTATCTCTTTATATTATTTACCCTCCTTTTTATTCACCTAAGCTACTACCTAGCCACACCTAAGTATCTATATAAAATCATGATTGTAATAATTTCATTAACTAATTAAACTCAAACTAATTTTTAATTAAAAAGAAGTCAATAAAATATTAATTTATACTTATAGGTAATGCTGCTTGTAAATCCTACCAAAGCTGTTACTGTACCATATACAATTTGGAATATCATGACATCACGCGGCTTATTGCTTATTGCTTACAGCTGATTAGGTCTATTAAATTATGCGATATGGAGTCAATGTCGTCACTAAAATACTAGACCTGTCGGATTCTGTATCTGATGGTTTTTTTC